TGACTGACTGAGTGACTGATTGACTAACTGACTGACTGACTGAGTGACTGATTGACTAACTGACTGACAAAGTGTTTGCTTACTTGACTATCTGACTGTACAAAAAATCAGTAAAATGTTGTTCCTTAATAGAAAATTGTTTTAATAAAGTTTAGAAATATCATAACTGCGAGATATGGACTTCAGGTTATACTTTATGTAAATAGTTCGGATTGTATATTATACTTATGTGTATTCGACGTAACCATAATCTCAAATGCAATTCATTAGCACTGTAGGTGTATAGAGTAAGTGAACCTAACATCTATTAGCATCATATTTGAAAAACATTTTTCTTTAAACAATACAAGGATTTAATTTCAATTTCATTCCTTTATACGACTTCGTTTGCAAATTGAACAAATGCAGTTCACTTGGGAAGCCTAACAAATTTCATGCTTCCATTTATAGTAAATGTTATATTGGAAGCACTGTTATTTATTACAATCATGTTAGAATGTTTTCTTTTTTAAAAATATTTCTATAGGAATATCTCTATAGGGCCTATGTGATGCTCTATGAACACCATTAGCAGGCGATGTTCAGTGCACATTGATCAAGATACAAAATAATTATTTATGTTTATAAATCTGTATGAATTGTGGAAATTGTTAACACATTAATTGGATACTCTCGATAATATATTCATGAATCAATATAATTTTTAAACATACTTTGTTTGAATGTAATTGAAATTAGTCATCACGAAATGTATTTACACATTTTTGAAAGCTGTAGAAAATGATTAAGACATGTCTCTCAGGTTATGCTTTGTTATGATGAGGCGCTGCCAATAAAATAAGTTTTTTTATACATAATTAATTGCGACTTTGACAACATATCAATTTCTAATACTGTTTCTTTTTTTTAAATATTATGGATGGGCTATATTAGGTGTGCTTATCGTAATAACAGTAACAGCGCTGATAATAATAACACAAATAAAAAAAATTCACCATTATCGAGAATTTATTCTTTTTATAGAAACATGTTTCGCGATAAGATTCTTCGCGTTTCTTGCAACCGCGTTTGAAAGTTTTTTCGGAAATTCATCGGTATGCTTTACTTTAGTTATCTTATTCTTATCTCGAGTCGTAGCGTTTGATAGGTTAAAACTGGAAAATGAAATCGGGTAGTGTATGTCTTTTCGAACCCAAGACAGAAATAGCGCAGTGTGTAAAGTACACCGTTATGTATCCTGTATTTATTTATTATGCGTAAACTTACACAACGCGTCATTAGTACATGTAATCATTTGTTGCGTAATGCCTAATGAATTAGTAATTATTCCTGAGGAGAGCGAGGAACGAAGGAAAAAAGACATCTTTGCGCCGCGTGTAATCTGTATAAATGGCAGGTACCGTTTTCTTGGATAACACGATACCAATTAATTTGGAGTCGTGGAGGCACATTGTGACCTCGGTTACCTCAGTACTTTCGAATATTTTTACGTAATTTCGTCTTCGGAGCCTGGGTCCGGTATTTAGAACGGACCGTTATCATGAATAGCAACGTCCGTTTCTCGAAGTCTCCCTGGAGTCAAATTTACTTTATGCCATGCTTTAACATATTCAGAAGGGCGTGACCCAACGTTGGGTCAACAAGCGATGATATTTGCCGACGTGACCCACTGATGGGTCATCGGTGGACGTTTCTATTTAGCAATATATGATAATGTAAATAGCACCATACATATTATAATACATTACTATATCATTTTGTCATTTTCTACGGAAAGACACATGCTTTGTAGATGGGAAAATTAGAATCTGGCAAATTAGGTATTCGTCATAATAAATATTTTGGTAAAATCAAACCTCTCGATCGTAATAGATGACTATATAATATTATAATAAATAATGTACCTTACCTTTTTAACCCTTTCACTACAATGGACGAGATATCTCGCCATCATTTGTCGTCATATAATGTTATGGACGAGATATCTCGTGCATCTTTATTACTGATATGAAGTGTTTCATTTGAAAATCTGACAGAAATAGTCGATGTTTAGGACATGTCATCGTTGGTGAAAGGTGCTTAAAGATGATAAATATAAAATACTAATACCGTATTTTACACAAATAGAGTTTTTATTGGTTGTTTTATATGGAATGCTTGAAAGCATGATCAAATGCATAATCCGATGGAACAATTTTTACAAAAATATTTGTTTTCCTTCTGTCAGCCATTGTTTTTTTAAACTATACATTCTACCGTTGGATCAGATTTTTTCTATAGATTGTATTTTTGTATGTTACATCTTCTATATCGATTACAATTATCTTTCTTGCAATATTCGAATGATATTAGTGCTTTAATGTAGAAGTACTGTTGATAGGCGAGTTTATTTGATGCAGTAGAAATATTTTGCGATTCTCCTATAGTGTTTACAATTTTTGTCATCCACCAGACTCTAATTGTGTAAAAATAAAAACTCTAATTCTGTGAGATAGGAGTATTTTCTATTTATCATTTTTAAGCACCTTCCACCGACGATGACATGTCTTAAAAATCGATTACTTGTGTCAAATTTTCAAATAGAACACTTTATATCAATAATAAAGACACACTTCATTATAGCGAAAGGGTTAAAAATAGGTTGTGTAATAGTTCGTCTCGATGAACAGTGGAAAATACATCTGTTTTATTGTAAATGCTTGACTTCGTAAGAAGAAATTTAGGGAAAGCGTGTAATAAATTATAATAGCATATAATGCAAAATGATGTACCTGTGTATGTATATAACATCTGGTCAAAACATAATTTTGCATATTGCAAATACATATTTGAGCTTTTGCGAAAGTGGAATCATTTCAACTATTTAATTGTATTTGTTCTTTATTTAAATAATGTATTCAAATAAAAAGTGGCACATTTCTTGTAAATAAGTGAGAAGAAAAAAATTTAATTGCAAATAAAGAAAATCTTTTTTTATGTGTTGTTACTTTATTTCTGGTATGTTTGGTAAAGAGAATATATATAATCCTGTAGTTATTAAAATAAACTTTTCAACTTTCGAAATTTCCAAAAATAAAATTTTTGATACCTATAAGCAAATAGTTATTACATTTTTTAATGGACTCATTAATTTTTTTGTTTTTGGAAATTATAGTTAACGAAGTTTTTAATATAAAGCCTAGAACGTTTTTTTGATATGTAATTGTTATTAAATGTAAGACTTTATTTGCAGAGGTTGAGAAATAAAATTTTTACTTGAGTATGAAAAATAATTCCCGTTTAATTATTTAAAAACTGTCTTATTAAAGCTCTGGCTAAACTTGGACATTATATACGGGTCGAACAAAGTTTTCATGAATTTTTTATTCAGTTTCTTATCAAATGAAAATACCGAAAATGAACATCAGAATAAACTGAAAATGTTATTACATCATATTAAATATTCAATTTCATTGATTTTCAATATTATAGAAAACATAAATTTATCCAATCGGTTGATATTTGTTAGTCTGTTGAATTCACGTTGTCAGTTCAAATTGTTTAATTACTGCTTCGTCTCTGAGTTGGTTGAAATGATTTAATATTTAATTAATCATTCAATTAAAATAGTCACACATTAATAATGACAATTAAAACGTAAGTGTTAATTTAGTTATAAGTTACTTCTTTCTATAATTATTGTTAATTACAATTCGCCGTAATTATATGCTTAGGGAAATTTAACTTACAATGGAGTAGATTACCACACTGTACTGGTTCTCAATAATGTGTAATTAGTAATTGGCAAAACTTCATGCATCGACAATCAGGTAAAAATTTCCAAGAGTAATATAACATTTTGTTAAAAAAGAAAAAGAAATTAGCAACCATAATTTCATCGGATCATTTTTAATGATAATGTATTACAGCTATTAATGCAGAAGGTAAAATGAACTAAACCTTTATTCAACTTCAATTTCATGAAATTTACCCGCACAGGTATAAATACATTCGCGACAGCAACCACATTAAGCTAATTATGATAGATTACATGTTGTCCATTTTTGATCGGGCTCTTCTATCAACGGAAGAAGCTATTTTGTCGTAATATCTTCAGATGGGTTCGCGTTCTTCAAGTGTTTCCATTTTCCGTTCGTTTCGAAATCGTCGCTTTTCATTGGTTGCGAGATCTGTCTGCTTATTCGCACGGCAGATATACGGCTGCGTACACCGTGTACCACTGCGTGTTGTATGCTGGGAGTTACGAGATTATGCGAGTTTCTTC